ATTTTATGCGAAAAGTTTTCCTCGAATAATTAGCAGAGGAGTGCTAAATATTTTTAGCAGCTTCATAATTATCATATGCTTGATATCCTTTGGTGATGAGTGCAGGATCGGAATTCTATAAACTCAGGGAATAAAATAATATTGATATAGAATATTGATATATAGTCGTTAACAAGAACATTTAAAATTCAGACTATGTGCCGATTACGATGCTGTTAATATTAATAAAAAAAATGTGGGTATACAGGGTGGCGTCTCTTATACGACGCGGATGCTCCCAGGAGAATGATACTTTATATCTATTGTTGGTTGATTGAAAGCATTTTATAAAAATATAAAGAGTTCTACAGTTTTACAAGCTGTCCCCAATAAAGTTACGCATCAAAGTTGTTTTTTTTTGTAATGGAACACCCTATATATTAATTGATTTTTCCCTTCTAGGGAAAAGTTAAATGTGAGTTTCATTAAAGAAACATAATATGGCAAAAATGTAACGTTTTTGTCATATTAAACATTTTGTGAAAATGAAGAATAAATTTTAAATTTCAATAACAAGTACCGAATTTCTAATTTACTCTGTATAGCCTTATATTTACTTAAAATGACCACTGTATGTTAAATCAAATTAAAATTTGACCGGAAAAGTTATACAGGATTAGAGAAAATTAGTATTGAATATTGGTCACTTTTAAAAGCAAGTTACTCCTTTATTTTAAATGGAACACTTGGTATATTATTTCGATATTCAATGGAGAATTCATGTATCTTCAAAATATTATTATGGTTGCCCACCCTTTTGACAAAGATTTTCCTAGATATTTTTATTTTTATAATTTTGAGTCAGTAGATGTTTATTATTTGATAAAAATATAGATGGCTGGTGATATACCTTTCGTTAATTTAACAAAAATTAAATGACTTAGAGTAAAATATTCAACGGTAACAAAAAGATACACGCTTAAAACCTATTTTAATTATTACAGAATTAAAACTAGATATAAACGTATAATTATGTGACAAAAATTAGCTAGATGAAATAAATTTGCCAAAATGCTTCCTTTCCTGTACACTACATAAAATGATGCCCTTTTCAAAAGATCTTTTCATGTTAAGATGCATATATATGTAAAGTTCTACTTCGAAAAGCAGCCACAATCATTTCTCTCATGTCGTCGGACATATTCTGACGTTGCCATTTCATCTTGTAGCTGTGTAACAAAACGTGGAATTATTTTTTTAGTTAGCGGCAACATTACAAAATGTAAAGAAATGTTTTAGAACTCTTCTATGTTTACTGATCTTTCTGTAAATTGACTAATCCAAAGTTTATGTATGATTAATACTTTCTTTTATGACTTGAGAATTTATTTTTCTGTCTTTTATTAGCGAATGCGGTTAATGAGATATGTTTCACTTTGTATACCCACCACTGATGTCACCGTCAAATTATTTATAGATTTTTTTAGACACATGTATTTTGGCTTATTCACCACCGAAAAATTTCGATACGAATGAGAAATATTTTTATTTTGATCGCAAGGAGGATGAAAATAAGATATGCAAAGGTCGGTGCTTTAACCTAAGGTTTATTTTAAAACCCTGAAGGCCGATTTTTCGTAAATATAGTGTAAACAACATTGCCACTTGAGGGATTTGATTCTCTGAGTGACATCTATTACCTGAGTCTTTTGTCGTATCCATTCTATTCCTTAAACGGTTTTTCTTGGTTATTCCCAGCATAATTTCGTTCCATTGAGCGTTGTGCGACCTGCAGTTTCCTTATAGTGTCCGTTTTAAGTGTCCTGGATTGCATGCATAGGTCATGACTGGTAGTACACATTGGTCGAATAATAATATTATTTTTAGAAAGAATTTGCTGATAAGTAAAATTGTTTATTTTTATCGGAACATAAATGAAGAAACTTTTGCTATTATTACTATAAATTCAATAGTGCTTGTGTGAGAAAATTAGTATTTTGTCAGTATTTTTGTAGTTTGTCTTCAAAATGCCTCGTGGTATTAATTTATCAAATCAGGTAAAACAACTGATTATTATAAAATACCAGGAGGGAGTCAAGCAAGTTGATATTGCAAGTCAGTTAAAATTAAATAAAAGTGTTGTTTGCAAACAAATAAAACTGTACCAAGAGGATCAATTGAAAGTAAACCTAAACCAGGACGGCCCAGAAAAAGTGGAGCTGCCACCGATAAATTAATAAGGTGTTTTTTGAAAAATCAATTTTTTACTGCGGTCGGTATAAAAAAGGAAAATCCACATGTTTCAATTTCTGTGAGGACTATTAGAAGACGCCTAATTGAAGGGTAGCTACACGCCAGACGCCCTGCCAAAAAGCCTTTTATTTCAAAAAAAAAAATCGACGGTCTCGTTTGGATTTTGCCACAGAACATTTAAATTGGACTAAATTGAAAGCAAATTTAACATGTTCGGCTCCGATGGTATGAAGTGGGTAAGGCGTCCTAATAACGAAAGATACAATCCTAAATATACTACGCTAAATATCAAACATGGGGGTGGCAACGTGCTTGTGTGGGGGTGCTTCTCTGGCCATGGGATGGGACCACTAAGAAGAATAGAAGGAGTTATGGATTGGTATCAGTATCTGGACATTTTAAGAAATACAATGTTGCCATTTGCTGAGGAATCGTTACCTCTTGTTTGGAAGTTTCAGCATGACAACGATCCAAGGCATACTGCAAAAATCGTTAAAGAATTTGTTGAAGCAGAATAAGTGCCTGTTATAAAATGGCCAGCGCAGAGCCCGGATTTGAGCCCCATAGAAAATATGTGGGAGCAACTAGAACGCGAAGTCAGGCAGAAACACCCGGAAGAAATTTACAAATAAAGATCAATTATTTGCTGGAAATATTATTTATTTTATACAATAAAAACAATTATTTAAGTTTTTTGTGTGCATTATTTAATGTAACTATTAGCAAGCATGCCAATAAAAAATCTAATGAAGGATTATTATACACAATAGCAAGTAAGAAAGAAATCATAAAAGTTTCTCCACTTTTGGCCGGCACTGTATACAGTGTGTTTCAAAACAAGTGCGAAAAACTTTAGGGGGTGATTCCTTGTTCAAAATAAAGGGTAGTTTGCTTTATAAACGTTGGGTCAAAAGTTAACCATTAGGGAGATATCGCGGTACAAAGATGGCGGAAAAATAATGTTTTTATTTTTTATCTTGAAAACGAAAAGAGATAGACTAATGAAATTTTATGGAAGCATTACTGCTATGAAAACACACTTTCAGGTATTTTTTACTTTTTTAAATGAGTGGAAGGGGTTGAAATAAACTACCCCTATCATTCTTGTAAACGAAATTTAAAGAAAAATCTTATCAAACACATGCAAATGCTTTAATATGGATAGTTTAGTTTGTTTAGAAACTTTTTTACCTCTTGTGTTTTTTTGATAAAACTCACCGATTGGAAATTAAAAAATAAAATGAAAAGCATTACATGTCAGGACAAAAAACATTTTTAGATTAAGAATCTAGTGATAATAACGATAATAATAATCATCTAGATAATAACGTATTGCAGTAGAGTAATGTCAAATAAAATAATATTAGGAACATCCTAAAAAGTAACAGCGGCCGACTAGATTTTTTCGAAAAATGACAGCAGCCCACTAGATTCTTTATCAGAAAATGTTTTTTGTCCTGACATGTAATGCTTTACATTTTATTTTTTAATTTCAAATCGGTGAGTTTTATCAAAAAATACAAGAGATAAAAAAAAGTTTCTAAACAAACTAAACTATCAAAATTAATTTTTTGCCCGTGTTTGATAAGATTTTTCTTTAAATTCCGTTAACAAGAATGATAGGGGTAGTTTATTTCAACTCCTTCCACTCATTTTAAAAAAGTGAAAAAATTACTAGAAAGTGTGTTTTCATAACAGTAATGCTTCCATAAAATTTTATTAGTCTATCTCTTTTCGTTTTCAAGATAAAAAATAAAAACATTATTTTTCCGCCATATTTGTACTGCAATATCTCCCTAACGGTTGACTTTTGACCCAACGTTTATGAAGCAAACTACCCTTTATTTTGAACAAGGAATCACCCCCTGAAGTTTTTCGCATTTGTTTTGAAACACCCTGTATATTCTTCTGTTATTTATTAGAATGTCTTTTCTGTCTACTAGTTCGTTGTACATTACTTTAGTTTTTGCTAAATTCATTTTGAGACCTACTTTATTGCTGGCTGTATTTAGTTCTTTGATTTGTGCCTGTAATTCTTCAGGACTATTGGCGATTAGGACTATGTCATCAGCGAATCTTATATGGTTATAAGATATTCTCCATCTATTTTTAATCCTTTGTTGGTTCAGTACAGTTGACGGAAGATTTCTTCTACTGTTGCTGTAAACAGCTTTGGGGATATCTCAAAGGAGGACAGAGAGTGCTAGATATATTAGTTCTTTTTTTCAAAGTAATAAACTTCTATACATTACTAATATAATTAATTAAATATTTGTTGCGATTGAATTACATCCATATAGACGAGTGGCGGAATTTTGGCTTTTTTATATCGCAATTTGTAAACAGCGCTTATTTGTAAACAACGACCGTTTTTAGAGAGGTATTTTAGATAACAATCGATATTTAGAAATTTTTAGACACCCTGGAAATACTACCACCGAGCATGTCATTGTAGCAACTTGCAACTGCGTTAATACGCCTGGCGACGACCGCTTCATACTCTTTCAGATATTTAGCAATAAAATAAAGAAATCTGTTATTTTTAAGCTGTTATTTTAAGCTGTTTTTTATAAATAACTATAACAGTTTCAACTGTTATCTAAAAATAACAGTTTTGCCCATCGCTACTTTATAGAGAGCCACTGGAAATTTAAAAAAAACTCCAGTGGCGCAGTTAAAATTATATTGTCTCGTACATTATCTCGAAATAATTTATGAATAATTAAATTAATATGAAAATAATCGTTTTTTCTTGTTTTTTTTTCCAGAAACGGTATCTATCCACTGACGGCTTTCAGTGCCAAACAGGCTCCACTGGTCCGATCCAGGGCCATATCACCGGAAATGGCGGAATCTGTCAAGTCCGTCACCCCGGAACCGACTGATGTAGAAAATAGGAAAATAGTTAATATGATGTGTGATGTTAAGTCCAAAGAAGAAAGCTGTGATTTATTGGTAAGGCGTACTGTTACATATTATTTAATTTTGTCCTTTACTCCTACGTGGAGCATAGGGCTTCAATAAACGCTCTCCAGCGGGTTCGGTTGTTGGCAATTGATTTGACATCTCGCCATGACCGGTTTACTGCTTCGATCTCCTTTTTAAATGTCTTTTGTCATGTGTGTCTTGGACGACCAGTTCTTCTACTGCCTTGTGGATTCCATTCAATAGCTCTGCCAGCGATGTTGTTGCTGCTTCGCCTTAAAGTGTCCAAGCGATCCATCTCCATTTCCTAAGTTTGATCTCGTTATACACCTGCCTATGGTTGGTTAAGCTTCATAAATCCTTATTTCTGATAGTATTTGGCCAGAATATTCCTACAGTTTTTCGCAGACAGCGGTTCGGAGATGTAATTTTCTAAGTCTCTGCACCATACATCAACACTGACTTGACATTCGAATTGAAAATGAGACATGGTGGAACTATTTGATTCTTAAGAGTTGTCTAAGGTGTCTCTGTTGCAACTTGTTTAATGCGTTCATGTGCCGGCAGTACGGCAACCAGGTTTCGCTTCCATATAACATGGTGAGGATTATTATTGCTCGGTATACTGCAAGTTTCGTTTTTGTGCTCAAATCATGATGGTAGAAACCCCTGTCTTTTAATTTCCAGAATGCTCTTGAGGCGCCGATAATTCTGGGCTGAATTTTAGAGTCGATATCAGCCTTTTCCGAAATCAAATGTTAAATGTTAAATTATTATTGGACAAATTTTCACTAATAAGTAATTTTATACTATTTTTTACCTGTAGTAAATCAATTAATTAAAAAAATTGTCTGTAATTAATTAATTGTGTTTTTATTTTAAAGTGTATTACTGTTTGTCAAGAATCACTAGGCAAGTGAAAAAGTTTAAAATTACGAATTTTAATCTTGAAAATAACACTTGACAATAATAGTCAAAGTAAAAAAAAATTAATGAATTAATACCTAATCCGTCTAATAATCACTTTGTTAAAAAAGATTAAATTTTACTGATAAATTGACAGGTTATACATCGAATTTCGTTTCAAAATTATTATTATTTGAAAAAATGGGTGTATAATAATAATTTTATCAGATATTGTGAGAGAGATTTATTGGAACTATTTATGAAAAGGTTGTTTGCGAATATTGTTATCGCTATTTAGTTTACCTGCGTGACATCATGCTTGTGCAAACTGATATCTATTTTTAGATCGTGCATATATATTTTATGTATATACTTAAGTACCAAAATTGTCTCATCATTTGTTTTCAGCCTTAGTTTATGTAAAAATAATCTAGAAATATTGATCTAGGAAATACATAGTCAGTTTTATAGCAATACAGACAGTGAATAAATTTAAAAATATATATTTTTAATTATATGTTCTTTCATGTAATAGTCTTCTTGGTGTAGCCTCCCTCGCATAATACCCCAGTCAAAATAAACAAAAAAAGGGGGTTAAATAACAATAATTCGCATTTTTCGCACGAGTTTTTCAACTTTTGAAATTGCCATATCTCAGAAAAGGTGGTTCGTAAGAAAAAAGTATAAGAACCATTATTGTAGAAAATTTAATGGTCTACAAGATTTGGTTAAGGTATTTTGCTATAGCGCTTACCGTTTAGGAGAAAAAAGCAAAATAACATATTTTTGGCTTTTTACCTTGAATAATTTTTTTAGCAGACGTGAGAGGGGTGGGGATTTTTCAGATATCATTTATAATAGTGTATTTAAGACCTGTACCAATTTTCAGCTCTGCGAATTATTGTTAATTGAAATGTCTATTTTGACTGGGGTGTAATTCAAATAATCCCTTTCTAATTTGTTTATTGTCTATGTGGTTCCAGTTATCCCTGCCAATTTCCTAATATCATGGCCGCATCTTGGTTTGGTCTTCTTCTATGTGTCTTTATTTCTTATGGTTACCATGCTGTAGTTTTTGTGGTCCCTCTATTGTCCATGCTTCTTTCCAGGTGTCCTGCCACTTGAGCGATTTGATGCTGTGGATGACATGCATTACCTGGGTCTTTTGTCGTATCCACTCTATTCTCTTATGATCTTTCTTGGTTATTCCCAGCATATTTCATTCCATTGAGCGTTGTGCGACCTGTAGTTTCCCTATAATGTCGGTTTTAAGTCTCCAGGATTCGCGTGACTGTGGCCTCCCCCACATTGTAATATAATTTTTCCTAAATATATTTTTTACTAATTCGGTGGAAATTATTTTTTAAGACACTGTACATATAGAAATAATATGCGTACATACTTCTATATTCGTTTTATATTTTTAGACATAGCAACAAAGATTTATTTAAGTTAAAATTTTGCGAATTCTCCATGCACAGGTGTTTTGCTGTAGGTAAAATTTTCGAAAAATAATTTATATTTTGGCATACATTTCAAATAGATATACGGAAAAAGGTAGCTTTATATTTAGACTATTATTGACTGACATAACTAGATAAATAGCCAACCATTTTCTGTCTTATTAACTTAGTGGATTTTTGAATATTTGAATTTTTATTAAATTTACCTATATTAAACGTAAATTTTTATTTTATTTATGGTAGTTTTTTCTTGTTTCAGTTGACAATTGTTTTGCGTATGGATGACAAGATGAATAGGCATTTAACTAGTTGTATTTCTCCAAAAGATAACCCTAAAATACTTGCACAAGAATTAGTACATTACGGTTTTGTAAATGAGGTAAGTACAAGAAATTTTGTTATTTAAATCTAAAAAAACCTTAGGGGCTGTTTAACTTTAATTTAATATGATTTTCTCACATTTTTACACTATTTTGAGAGATTTAGTGAGATTCGGCTTTAACTCCTTCTTAAAAAACATAATAATTTTAACCTATTACAACTTAAAAACACTATCAATTTAACTTGGTATGCCGCTAGGAATGAGTAGTTCAAATGAACCCTCCTAAAAATACTTCAAAACAAGATTTTCTGGTTTTATAATGAAATAAAACGAAAAGAGACCATCCTCCGTATTCGCCAGATTTAATTCCATAGACAGTTTTTCAAAAAATAACTTCCAGGTTGTATTTACAGCTAAAATTAACTTTTTTTTGAGAAAATTACAACTTGACATCCCCTTAGTGAAATAAACTGTTTGTTTGCCTTTATTGGGAACGTTGTTTCGTTGTACTAATGTGGGGATTTTTTTTTATTCTAGGAGGATCGTGAAAAGATTGCTACACTGATAGAAGAAACGTTACTGAATACCTCATCGGATCAGAACAGTTCAACGACGAATCAGGACAATGATAGCAAAAACGTAGCGAATTCGATAACAACCGTTCCAAACACCACACAACCGGCAATGGTAAGCATCAAATGTAATTTTTTAAATAAAACATTCCATTTCCAGAAAATTTTAAAAATGGGATTAAAAATATCCCACTTCTGATTGCTTGGAAATGGGATTGTCTCATATAAGTAATACTCCTACAAGGCTAGTAAAGACTTTAAATTTGATTTTTATCTTATTAAATTTATTTATTTTTATTATTTTTTTATTTTTTTTTATCATTGTACTCAGGAGATCGAGTTCTTTCAAAACTTCAAATAAAAAATGCAGGTCCGTATTTAAAAAAATTAAGTTGGCCTCTGTATCTCACAAATTATCAGCTAATTTGAAAATCTAAAAACACTATCAGATAGCCCTAATAAAGTAGCCATGAGAATTTGCAATTAGTTTTTTGATTTTCTAAAAAGTAACTCCGGGAAAAAATAAAATTGATTTTCATAAAAAACACAGCAATTCTTGAAATTTTTAAAACTTTTTTGATGGCATCATGGTGAACATCCTAAAGCGCAACTTTGCCTCAATTTAACCATCTTCATATCTCTTATGGTTTCCGAGATACCAATGCTCGTACCTCGAATTTGTAGCACCCTGTATACCAGCCCTCTAGTACTATGACTTATAACGGATTTTCTATAATTTTACAGCACACTGTTTAAATTAGCGAAATTATTTGTTTCAGGTGACGTCGCTGGCGAACTCAGTGGCGTCCGCCAAGGTGCCGATGCACACCACCAGTTAGTAACAGAGTGACGACGCGACCTCCTCCCAGGAGGCGCCTCCGTGCCGCCAATGGAGCAGTCGCGTCCTTGCCACTTCTACTACTACTACTTCAACTACCCGTCGCCCTGATAACGGCAACAGCGCATTCGCGCCAGTCTCGATGGACCAGTAACCCGTCTCCGCGCGAGACGAACAAATAAACAGAGAAGAGAGTCGGCCGTCTTACACAGGGTCTTGTGATATTAAGAGATAGAAGAAATCGCGTTCTGTATAAATGATATATACATATAATAGATATATTGGGGGTGATATATAACAAATAGTATACATATATAGACTTTTTCGAAAGAGTGAGAGCAAGATAGAGAGAGAGAGAGAGAGAGAGGTACACTGACCAGTATGAAAAACAAACACCTTAAAATTTTCATCTAATTAAAAGTTCAATATATTTTGTTATAGTGGACCGATTTTGATGATTTTTTAAGCATTTTGAAGCTAGATTATTTGACTTTTCAGCCTCTTTTTTATATTAAAAATTAAAGTCCCCATCTGTCTATTATACGAGGGAAAACAAAACGTTGTTATTTTGGCGAAAGTTTGAAACGCCTTGTAGAGTGTTTTAACAATTTGAAGAATTTAAAAATTTCTTTTTCATCAAGGAGCATCATTTCTCAAGAGTTTGTTTTTTGATTCATCTCGATAGCTTTATTTTTATTGGAGATATTCGGTCTTGAAGAAGACAGTACCAATTTACAGCAATTTTAGCATTAAAAACATGTCTTTGCTTTTGGTCTTCATTAACACACCTAAGAAATATAGTGTTTTTCTAACCCCACTATCATTGAAAAGTCATTATATTATTGTTTGTTGGCTGCAGTTACTCTGGCAGAGATGGTTTTAAGTCCAGAAGTTGATCTCTATCAATGCAACAATAGTTGATACAAGTTCTAGACTTCAAACCTTAATCTCTACTAATGTAACCTTCAACAAACAATAAAAAAATGACTTCAATGATAGTGACAGTAAAAAAACACAAAAAAACACTATTTTATATGAGTGTTAATGAGGGCCAAAAGAAAAGTCATGCTTTTAGTGCTAAAATTGTTATTAATTGTTACAATCTTATTCAAACGCAAATATCTCCAACAAAAATAGAGCTATTGAGATGAATCAAAAAACAAACTATTGAGAAAAGATGCACCTTCATGATAAAGTGCTTTTTAAAATCCTTACTATGTTAAATCATTCCACAGGGTGTTTCAAACTTTCGCCAAAAAAAACAACATTTTATTTTTCCTCGTATTATAGACAGATGGAAACTTTAATTTTTATTTCAGAAAGAGGCTAAAAAAGTCAAATGATTTAGCTACAAATTGGTTAAAAATTCATCAAAATCGGCCCACTAAAACGAAAAATATTGAACTTTAAAGTAGATGAAAATTTTAAGGTGTCTGTTTTTTGTGCGGAGGTCAGTGTTGCTAAGGAGAGAAAGATACTACTACGTTTTTTAATTCGAGGTTAGTTTTATTACGAATGAAGACTGCGAAAAAAATATGCCGGACATTGCGCTAGTCATGCTGACCATAATAATATTGTTGTTGATCTGTGATTGGAGTTAAAAACGATGCGCGCGGCTCTGGCGCACGACTGAGATGTCAAAAAAGTAAACTAACCTCAAAAATCGGTGATTTTTGAGGTTAAGTTTGATGGGGATCGTGTCAACGCGACGTACTGTATGCTAGAGAGTCACCGCATCGAGGCGAAGTCGAGAATTTGATAGGAATATGATTGATTTAATATTTTGGAGGAGATTTTACTTGAATTTTGTTAAGAAAATATGGTTTAAAATTGTAGTTTTTTATAAAAATCATTTTTCGTCAGTATTATTGATTTGTACAAACAGCAGTACACTATTATTTATCCAACTTAACAACAGTCAAAAAAAGCCAGACTCCTGAAAAAAACGTGTTTTCTGATGTATCGATCATAATAATTTGTTATTTATCTATATAACATTTTGTGAATAAATTATTTTTACAATTTCATATGCCAAACGTAGTAAAAATTTAAGAAACAGCACAATATAGCATATTTTTGCACGTCCTAAGAAACATTTTGGGTGCCACTGGAAAAAAAATAGCTCCAGCGGCCATATTTTGACATATCTGTAAAAAAAGTTTGATTGCCACTGGTTTAATTAGTTCAAATTAACCATATTTGTTCCTTATATACCATTAAATCTAGCAAAACTCGAAATTTAACGCCATTTCTACGTTTACCGTGACGTCTTTTTTTATTCTTCAAATTAGTTCAAATGTACTAAACTTTTAAACGTGTGTTTTAAAGGTCCAGAGTGCATTTCGAAGTCCAGTTTCAATAAAATACAGGGCGTGTGAAACTAACTCAGAGCGTTCAAAATATGTTTCCTAGGATAGTATAAATGGGCAAAATATTTAAAAAAAACTTACATCACTACGTTACGTTTGCATTTTTCCTATCATATTCTCGATCTTCTTCGTACTAGAAAAGAAATTTTTCAAAAAAATTAATATAAAATACATTGAAGTGCCATTTTTTTTCGGTTAGTTTCTCAAACGTTGTTTACACACACATTAATTTTTTAATTTTAAGTTTTAAGGTTATATTATTTATAAGGAAAATTTATACTGAATAATAACACATTTCTTTTTGATATAGTTTCAAGTAATTTATTTAAAAAAGACATACACACACTACGGTAACCTTAGCCAGTCTTCCTTAACATTTGTTTAATTTTTTTCCTGTATACTGGGTGTCAAAAAAATATTGCACAAACCGTTTTTTTTTTCGATGATTTTTATCGAATAAATTTGAAATTTGTCGTTTGCAATCAATATGGCGGAGTTTTTAGGTTACCTATAGCGATGACGTCAAACCACAGACTGAAATACCTTACGATTTAAAAAAAACGGCGTCAGAGTAGGCTCGGAAATGAAGATTTCTGTCGTTTTATAAGTATAAATGTAGAAAATGTAATCGATTGTCATTTCCAAGCCAACTTGACGGCGTTTTTTTTTCAAAAAGGAATTTTGAACTGTTTCGTCCAAATTTCAAAATTATTCGACAAAAAAAAACGATCAAATGGCGTTGACATCCGGTATATATCTAATTTTAATGATTAATACTCAATGTTTCTCAATTTTTTCTTTACCGTCCTTTATTTTTTTGTTGTTCGCTTAGAGACTGATTAAAAGGAAATTTTAGGGAGAAAAACGTGAGTTCGTAGAATTCGGACCAATCAAATCGACGTCTGTGTAGATTGAGCTTAAAACACTAAACGCCTTACGTGTAGTCTCGGCTTTAGCAATTTTTTATAAGTAAATTTATTTTTTGTTAAAAGATTAAAAAAAAATATATTAGAGTAGTTTTAAACAAAATCTTTTAACAAGGAATGTCAAGTTATTGTTCAGAAGAAAACTGTTTTTTTTTGTGTTTTTATTTTTTAGTGTTTTAAGACTGAGAATTATGTTTATTTTTTTTTAATTTGGTTTTTTAGAATAAAAAACAAACAGTAAAAAGAAAGAAATGTGTAAGTTTATAAAGGGTGGTTCCAAAAAATTAATTTTTTGAAATAAAAAAAAATTAGCATTTATTTTTTCCAATTTTAAATTATTCGAGTAATAATTTTGAAAAAAAAATATTTTTTGGAGCTTCTTTTTTAGATCAATGCAATCGAACTGTAAAGAGTTCTCAAGATATTATATTTTTGTCTATATTGTGAATTTAAGTCAAATCAAAAGTAATAATTTAATATAATACGATTATTTTTTTTTTCGTTCTGTAGTTATGTTAATTATTTAGTTTTATATTTTTAATTTAAAATTATACGCTTCGAGATATAGGATACTGTACTAGGTATAAATGTGTATGTGTATAGGAACTATTACTTTTTGATTTGATGAAATTAAATATGAAGACATCTATTATTTCTATGCCGCTTTTATATAAAATTTTTAGGCAAAATAAAATTAATATTGTAAATAATTTAATAATTAAAAAAAGGAACTATTCATTAGCTGTACGAAAATGTAGATATTAAATTTTTTATTGAAAAGAGAGACAGACAAAAAAATCAAGAAATAAATTGTAGAAAAAAATAAAAAAAACTATTATTTATTTGTAAAGAAAAATCGTCAGCATTTCTTTTTTATTTTCTTTTTATTATTCAAAGTGATGATAAGATTCAGAATTGAGAGTTACTTGAAGTAAGAATCATCCAAGTACTGCCAAAATTTATTTTTAAACAAGCTAAAAAGAGAACGAAGAAAGAAAATAAAAAATAAAACTATTTGAATTTTTTTCAGAGGTATATGATCGCGGTTTATTTATAAGACAGTGTTTTTAGTGTGTTAAGTGCACAAAACGAGTATAATTGTCGTGTTAAGTTGGATGAAAACACTAATTATAAATAAATAAAAAGCTATACCAAAAGTAATTTTTGTATTATTAGTCCAGTCCTGCGTATAATATTCTGCAGATAAAAACATGTAAAACAGTTCGTATACACTCATGTCTTAAAATGCTTCTTTTTCGTAATACAGGGTGTAGAAGTTTCATTTTTATTTAGATTTAGATTTTTTCCAAATAATTTCTGAAATAACGTTAATATTTTGATGGAAATTGGTGTCTCGGGTGTTTTTTGACATGAGAAATTTGATTTTGAACTACACAGATTCCTACTTGTAGGTGGTGCTACCTAAGTGTGTGTCTGTTGGGGGTGTTCTTTAAGTGTTTTGGAGTGTAATAACTTTTCGTGGGTACCTGTACTAAAAAAAATTACTGAGTAAAAAACAGGTAAAAAATATACATTTCCACCGTTTTTTACCTAAAAAGTTCTCTTGGTATTGGAAAAAATCGAAATAAAAATGAAACTTCTGTGTCTCTATTTCACCCTGGGTCTCGGAAAGAACTCTCACTCTGTATTATAATATTATATAATAATAAATTATTTACTTAAGATCTATTTATTATTTTTGTATTTGTTTATTTTTATTGTTGTCTTTGTCTAATAATTATCCATAAATTATAGATTAGACTCTCTCATTTTGAATATTTTGTCCTGGACACTGGCCACATGACCTACATAAGTTGAAGCCATTTAAAAATAAAGAAGAAACAGATCTATGACAGATCAGTGGTTGTCCATGATTTAGGACCGTAAATATAAAAAGAAGAAGAACAGTACTTTCATTCTATGGTTACCGTTCTCTTTAGCCCAAAAAAACGAAAAAGAAGAGCGCCTGTAGCGCCACTGTGGAAAAAGTGGAAAATTTTTGAACTAAATTATTTCCAAGGTTGCCAAAATGTTAGCGAAGTCCTGAAACTAATCCGAATCAATATTTTTGGAAGTATAAAACGAATTGGACCGTTACAAAATTATGATAAATCTAAAAAACATATTATAAAAACATTGTTTCAGTAGAATAAATAATATTTTTCTTTTAGACAGAGCATTATTTATGCAACAAAAAATGATAATTTTGTTTCAGATGTATTCAATCTGACAACGTTGACAAGGTAACGTGCAATATTTTCCGTTCGCAGCGTGTTGTTATGTGGCTGTTACAATTTTTCTAGTTTTTTGATAGAAAAAGTGATTTTTCTGTACACTATTTGAGTGTATTCTGTTCCTTAAGGCCTGTTTAGTCTCCTGAAAATGTAAGTACCCATGATTTTGTGTGTTTTCTATGGTTTTTTTCACTTTCAAATATTTCAATTACATCATCGATAAAACCTGATGCATTTTTCCTGTTTTCATAATTTTCTTTTTCTAAATTGAGTATATGGAAATATATATACCCTCCTTGATAACCCTATTGTACATTAAAAATATAGTTACTTCGAAAATATTTAGAGATATTTGGTATTTTTTGGACTATTTTTTTGCGTCGATTCGAGATGTTTTTTTATTCCTAAAAGTAACTTTTTTGGTGTTTATTCGTACAGGCAAACAAGTATTTTCTACGTTGTTTAGAATAAGTAGGTAATCCTAAAGGAGCATTCTCAATAATTATATAATACTTTCAGATAAAGTAAAATACTAGTTTACACACATGTTTAATACTATAATATTACACCATCGTCATATGTTTGTTAACAATTTTGCATGTTTTCTTTTTTAGGAGCGTTATTAGTAATAACATATAAGCACATAAAGACCACTTAATAGAAGAGAGCCCTTATATAATCCTGATATTTGGCTATCATTCCGTTTTACGAGCTGGTCTTCTATTATCTGATTGAAAGTAAGTTTAATTTATATTTTAAAAATAATTTTAATAAATTTATTAAATGCTTATTAACAGACTAACTATAGTTTAATAATTAATAAAATCTAATTTTATTTATTTCTTTTTTACAGATTTTTTACAATAAATCGATGGATGTAAATTGTTCCAGGGCAGTACATTTATCCTTTTGATGAATATTACAAACAGCGCATGAGGATTTATAAGTATATCTAAAATTTTATTTCTTTTGGGTAAATAAATTTATTTTTTTGATTTTTAATGCTCATCGATCAGTGCATATCATCATTTTTAAATTTAATTAAGTAGGAAAAAAATCCAATTGGTCTTTCAATTATATATTTATGGTTCCTTATTATCATAGATAAATTCAAACCATCTATTTTCATGTTGGGCCATATTTTGTCTTTTGGCAACTTCTTTTTTTCTTTGGTATAATACCATCTACTTAGAACTTTACTTCATGTTGTTTTTGGTTTACTTTCATTTCACTATAATAGTTTGATTCCCATATTTTCATGATTGTGGAAATAATATCACCACTTGTCAATGCAATAAAATATTCTATTGACTGTATTTCTATAGGTTTTATTTGTTACGTAAAATATATATTATATATTTTCCTATAATAGCTTAACTCCCATATTTTCTTCATTGTGGGAATAATATCATTTCTATTCTGTAAAACATTCCATTGACTGTATTTTTATAACTATTCTTTTATTTGTATTCTTTTTTTATGGTGTCATTCTTCTAATACATTTTTGCTTGTGAAATTTCTTACCCAGAATTTTAGTTTTGATGGATTCATTTTCATGTAATTTTTACAGACATATGCCATGAATTGGTGAAATTTTAAGGATTCTGTTGGTTTGGTTTGCCTGTGTTTAAATATAACTTAAACTCACAATAACACACTTAATTGTTTCACTAAAAGGACAAATTTTCGATTGATTCCTGGCGCATTCGCCATTTATTAAAAAATCTGACATCAACAGCTGATGTCACTTCTGGCTTTTCTAGCAATTTGCTAATTAATTTTCTTGAGTAATATCGACTCCAGAGCATCATAGCTAGCCTCTCCTATGAGGAGGAGACCCGGGTCACCCCCTAACCTTGATGTTCGGCCATCGATGACCTATGTAGCATGCATAGGTACCCAAGGGAGTCACCACCCTCTGGTTTACGAGCTAGGTGTTCTAACGCTAGAGGCTTCGGCCGGATACGACCTGGCACCCAAGCTACGAGACTTCTTCGTGCACGTATCCCGTGACGTCTCGACAGTAGAGGGGCGGGATATCGGACACATTGAAGATGATGAGGGGGGTCCGCCTGTAGGGGGTCCCGGTGGATGTCCGCTCGATGGGTGATGAGGGTGACCCGAGACGAGGCTGCTTAGCTGGGATGGGAACTGACTGGCGAGGCTTAATCGTCGGCCAAGGGTTAAATCTGATGAAGGGGGGCGAACCTATATGCTTTGGAGGATTTTTTGTTCATGTGCTTGATGTCAAATTTTGACTAGATATTTCTGAGAGGAGGTTAAGCATAACTTTTAGTCATTTTTCAGTTCTTATTGACCACATACCTCTTTATTTTTTAATATCATCTAGAACCTTCTGGCCCATGTTGTTTTTGGCCTACCTCTTACTAGTTTTGTCTGCCATATTTTCCTTATTATTGGAATATTATCATTCATCACTGTCCTATTGATTGTCTTATTATTTATATACTTGTCTATTTTTTGTGTAATCCTTCTAAGAGTTCTAAGACATAATATTTCAACATTTCTATTGCCTGTATATATTTATTTTTAATTTGTTTTTATGTCATTATTTCAGTATGTATATAATTACATATATATTTTTGGTATCATAATATTATATTCTAAATTGTCACTCATCTTCATGCATTTTTTTTTTCAATTCCACATACCTCTGTATTTATCTCTCTCTGTGACGTTCTGTGTCAAGACTTCTCTAAGGCATTTTATTTCTATTGTCTATATAGAGTTGTAAGTTTGGAAACATTTTCATAAATTTTCAATTCATCACACCAGACAGAGTACAACTAAATATAATATTTCTTAAATATAATTTATTTTTCTTCTATGTTTGTTGTATTTCTAAATCTTTTCTTAAAATTTGTTTTATTGTTTATTTTACTGCTATTCTTCTAAGACTCCCAAATTTTTGATCTCATTCCTATTGATGCCTACATATGTAATAAAAAAATAAATAATAACATTGGTATGGGATATTGTACTGCTTTGGAACAAAGACTGCTGTAACTACCCTTTTCAAGATGCAATTATATTAACTAAATTCAACATTCAACAGCGGATTGAGAAGAAATTCATCATTGAAAAGGAAGCTAAATAAATTTAGGTAAAATATACCAAAAGGTGTTTTTTTTTAATGAAATATGTTTGTTAAATACCTAATATTATAGTATTCTGTAAAATGTGTAGATATAAATTATTAATTTCAAATGGAGTATATTGGCGCGCTGTTTACTGTTGTATAGGCAACTAAAAATACATAAAAATTACATTATTTCTATTTTTAGGCAACTATAAATACATTGACATGTATATAGAGTTGCCTATATAGTGTTTGATTTTTTAATTAAGTTTTTTAATACTTTTATTGCAGAATCAAGACTTACAGGGTAGCTAGTAGTCCAGAAGAGTAGCTATAGAAGATTTATTTACTTCCACATAGACGTCAGCATGTCCGCCAACACCTTAGATTTTAATATACTTTTTATATTTTACTATTGTTAATAAAATGTAATGTGTTTATGATATAAAGATATAATATAATCAATGATAGCAAAAACATGCCTTAATCTTTGTTTTAAGGCATTTTTCCTTAACACGGCAGTATATTATACCGTATGATCGAAAAAAAAACGGCGTCAGCGATGGCTGTGAAATGATGATCGCTGTTATTTTATATATAAAATGATTATATGGAGACTGTCATCGATCGTCATTTCCAAGCCAGCTGGACGCCGTTTTTTTTTTCGATCATACTAGTGTAAAGAAATTCATAATATAGCTTTATAAATGTAATAAATACATTTTTTAAGTACTGAAATCTATACTTTATAACTTATTGTGTATAATTAGAATAGAATATAAATAAAAGCATTAGAATTTATTATTAGACCCTATGTATAGCAATTATTTACCCTGCCACTTGAAGGTAACATTTTTAATATATGTATACCCTAACATGAATACCCTATTCGAATATTTTTTAATAAATATTTTAATATATTAAACATGTGTTATGTTATATATATGCTTATAGCAAAATTCCTTTCCTATAACAATTAAAAGAATAAAATAAACTCTTAGAGCTCTTATTGAATATAACAAAAATAAACTAGCAACATAAAATATATCATGATATACTATAAATATAATCGCAATATAATATATCTATGCGCTAAGAAATATGACTCTGAAAAATATCGTCTCATTTCTGTTCAAAATTAAATTTTTGATGACAAAAATGTACAAGATTTGGTTGCCTCGTGCGAAATTTTTCACCACCTCGAAAAAATTTTTAACACTACAGAGAAACGCTGGATTTTGTCGACTCTAACACTTTGACCTCGTTTTCGAAATTAAAACGCTAATAACTCCGTAATTAAAAGAGCTATCGGGGCGCGCTTAGCGCCAATCGATAGAGAATTCAACCCTCTATCTGTACACAAAATTGCAACCCCCTACGGCACCTTTTATTTTTTGGGCCAAAAATTTTCTAAGGTTAACCCCTTTGCTCATTTTTGCTCCAAAAAATAAAGTGTTTCGTAGGGGGTTGTAATTTTGTGTACAGATAGAGGGTTGAATTCCCTATCGATTGCGACATAGCGCGCCCCGATATCTTAATTAGTTTTTGAGTAATTAACGTTTTTGTAAATGAGTCTAACTGTTCGAGCTCGTTGGCCAACGATTTCCGATTTAATTCGGATGACAAAAATATTTTTAAAAATGATCATTTTTGGTGCTAGATGTGACTGTTTTGAGGTAAAAGAAATCAAATCTTTATAGAATATCGTATGGTTCTAGACTATGAAAGAGTGTATATGTCATTAAATTAATACACCAATATTAAAGGTAACTAGATTAAATATTTATTGAATTTATATTTAAATATTTTGATTATTTTTTTTTTGCTTTGGCAGCCAGAAATGCACATTCCTCATATTTATAATTTTACATTAAAACTGATAGCGATCTTCATTCAATGAGGTGAGGACTATAGGTATGGAACATGGAAAATGTTATAAATAAAAATGCTGTTTTGTTGCTTTAATGTCTTATTTATTTGGAAGACATTTCTTTTTAATGAATATAAATTAATTTATTTTTACGAATACAGTGTGGTAAAAGTTACATCATAGAACATATTTTTATTTTTTCTTCTTCCTTATAAGCATCCTATTATATCTAGGGACTGTTTCAATATTGTACAAGCTCTTTCGATTTCGATCACAATAATATTAACAATTAAAAAAAGAAAGAAAACATAATCTATAATTTTCATAACAATGGCAATAATATTTTTTCTTGTCCTTAGTAATAAACAAATCTCTTTCGGTACAAGATAATACGAAGAAATATCTTCAAAATTGTTGTTTTACGTAGCTCTTACATTGATCAAGTTTAAAATTATACAATATATAATCTAGCCTTAACAGAACACATCATTTGCTTCAAATGATAGAAATGTGTACAAGGGTTTGTCCTAAAAAATTAAATTTATACAAAATATAATACAGTACAAAATTGTTATATATAAAAGGGCCGGGGATCATTATACAAATAACAATAAATAATAAAAACATCATTAATAGTTTTCATTATACAGGGTGTAAATAAAAAAATGCATTTTTTAATTTTATTCTCTAAAACAAATAAAAATTTTAAGACATGATTTTAAAAGAACTTTTTTACTTAGTTTTATATGCAGAATATGTTGCCGGATTAAAATTCGGACCACCCCGTATACAGAGTGAACCAAACTCAACAATATTCATCTGAATGCCAATTTACACAAATGCATAATTTCACTATTACAATACGTACACCAAATTTGATATTTTTAATGTACACAATTTTGAAAAAGTTGATAAATAATTTACACCCTGTATAATATAAGGCCAAGATAATTTATTATCTAACAATATCGGATAATATACAATACAGAGGCCTTTAAAGCAACTATAAAAAACAAAGTATCCAAAAGATTTTTGATTTTTGAAATTGGTTAAAATTATGGATATGTTGTTATGTGTATATAGAGTGGACACATTTTAAATGTTGAAAAATGAACCCTCAAGTATAATACTTGAGATTCCATATTTAAACATTCATATTAATCCACCTTGAACAATGTTTATAATTTTCGTTAAAATTTTACATGAAACAATCTGAGAAAAACAAAACTTGACATGAACACATACGAAAAAACCTTTTTTTAATTATTAAAATACGTTTATATCATTTAGCCTTATTCGAGGGGTAAACCGCAGAGGGAAAAGTGTACACCGTAATTCCTTTTACTCAAATAATTCCTCAGAATTCCTCGTAATTCCTTCGGAATTCCTTGGAATTCCTGGTCTTTAAAGCCAAGGTCAATCATTCGAGGTCTTCCTTGGAATTCCTTGGTACGAACTCGGTAACTCTGTCAGTCTGAACCAGCGTTGCCACCTCGGTTTCGCAGTTCCGCTATGAATTTTCAGGTGATTTTTATAAATGTCTAATGTCTTTATAAGTACTAGATCTTACAATAAAAAGTACTATTACGAGATTTACGTTTTTTTTAGTTAAATTTTAGGACCAATAGGGGATCATGAGGTGAAAATACTGGAAATATGTCGGCACTTACTTATTAAAAACGACGTCTAGTTGGTTTAGAAATGATAATCAAAGAACGAATCTTTCACCATTAAAAGAAACACTTAAAATAATTAGAAAATCATAAGATTGAGGGTTTTATCAATTTTTTTTTCAGTAAATATCCATTAAACTTAAATATATTAAACCCTGAAAAGTCCCAAATAGTACTGTATACTGGGCGAAAAAGTACCCTACTAAGACGTTTTCGATTCTGCCTTAAGTGTAGTTTAAAAGGTAGTATTTACTAGCGAAATTGAATTCTACTGTTATAAATATCATAAAAAAATATGTCACAGTAAGCCGAGAAATGGTCTATAAAAAAATTCAGATGTTACATTGGGACGTATATGACATAGATAAATGCCAGGGGATGACATATACACATATAACTTCAAAATATATCTGAATTCAAATTTTAACGTAGAAAAAGGGTTGTACCATAAATAAAAGCTTTTAAAAATAGGATAAAAATTTGAATTTCTGACAGTATATTATGAAATCTAACACGTGATTTGCTGGACCTGTGTACGTCACGAAAATAGCGTGAATATTTAAATTTTTTTCTTTTATAAGTTTCGTATTGAAGACATGTTAGACAAACATATTATTTAATGAACCAAACTTTAGTTTGAAATATGTATCAGGTAAACACGAAATATGATTTAGCACAAACTTATTTTTAGAACTTTAAATCGATTATAAGAACATGTTATCCATGCTCAAACTCAGGTGTATGCAAATAAGCATTATATTAGAAAGTCGCATGACTCAACAACGTAAATCAGCCTATGCGTTTCGCATTAAGAAAATTAATTTTATAACTTTATTTTTACAGTTTTCTGAGGGCTTTTACTTAAAGGAATGAAATAAAAATATTTTTATATTTCCAAGCTATTTTTAACTTTTTTTAGTGTTATTTTAATTTTCTTTTGTTGATAGATATCTAGAAATTTAATTATAGACCATTCAAGGAAAACTTTGACTGAAATATTGATTAAAATGACAGATTGTTTAGAAAAAACTACTTAAAATAGAGATAATCGTTCGGTGATGCTTTCTCCTAACATAAATAAAAAAAGAAATATCTATTTAACATTTATACATGCACTTTTCAATCCATATTCGCGATTCTTTGAATAATCTAAAATATCTCAGATTTTCAAAAAAAAACATTTTTTTTAGGTTGAAGATTAAAATATATATTTATATTAGATTATACTGAAATAATTTTTAAACAAAACTACTTTTTATTTTAAGACAAACAATTTTTCTTCTTTCCACATACCGGAATACCAATTTTTAATTTTTTTGTTAGTTGAAATGAAGAGTATTCTCGGGCTAATATATTTTTACACTGCAGATTATTTAAAAAACACTGTATACATTGTCACCTATAAGCTCATATAATTGGCTTTTAATAAGAATATCTATTTATTTTCTTTAACTACAAGAAAAAAATTAAAATTCGTTTACCGGGTGCGTCTCAAAAGTGGCTCATCCGTATAACTTTTTTATTTTTTTACTTAAAAAAAACAGAATTGGTATGTTAGTATATGACATAAAATAGGACTGACTGACGTATTCAATTGTTTTTGGTCACTTCCTGTTTCACCGGAAATGACTACAACTTTTGATTTTGAAAGGGCACCCTCGGAAGACCAAACACAATTGAATACGTCAATCAATCCTAATTTATGTCATATACTAACATACCAAATCTCGTTTTTTTTAAGTAAAAAATAAAAAAGTTATAGGGGTGAGCCACTTTTGAGACGCACCCGGTATACCTGCCTGAATTTTTTAAAATATCAAAGAACATAATATAGAAATACTAATATTTCTGAAGTTGGTGTATACAGGGTGATCTGAATATGCCTAAACAGCAACTGAAAATGTTGTTTTTGTGGAAATTAACTAAAAAACCATACTAAAACTTATTTAAAAAAACAACCACATATTTATATTTGCTTGTTGTTTGATGTGCTCGTAAGGCTTAGATTTCAATATATGTACAGGGTATTAATATTTTGCCAAAAAAAAATCAGAAAATTATTTTTTGAAAGAAGTTCTACAAAAAAATTGTAAATTAACATGAAACTAGTAAAAACAGAGAACGATTTGGTGTAAACACTATAGGTGACACTGTATTTAGGGTTATTCATTATAAGTATCCCTTGTTAGACATTTAGGCAAAATTTCTTAATGTAAAAATATGAAATATTTATAAAAAAAATGATTCTAGCTGTGAGTAATTCTGGGCAATTCTCTATAAAAATGCAATAGAAAGACACTTACTGTGAATAACCCTGTATATTTTCCGAAAAACAAAAAATACTTTAAACTTCAATCTTTCTCACTCTTACACACACATTCACATTTTGTTTACTACCGATAAAAACCGCGTTTTGTTTTCTCATCATGTAATATAAAATCACTGTATGTACAAAAAAACAATTATCATTATTATTATTACATCATATTATTATTTATTTACACAAATCTGTGTAACGTTCATCTTCAATGTTTTTGTTCTTTTATTTACCTATTATTAATAGTAATAATATTTAAACCTAATATTTTTTTCATTTTATTATTAAAAATGTCGCCAGGGGAGTGGGAGGGGAGGGTAGGGTAAATCGGTGGAGGGGACGATAGTTGCTAAGCGGTCAGGGGGGAAATAATAAAATCTAGAGTTACGCCCATCACAGAAATTTGGTATTCACCTTCATCTAAGGTCGAGCCTTGCAATTGTCAAGGCCTATGGAATCTGTAAAATAGAAAAAACAGTATATTAGATGGTTATCTAGTAGGCAAATGTAAAAAAATTAAATGATTTGTTGAAATAAGCTGATAAAAATGTATAATGAATATCAAATTTTATCTATGCCGATTAAATTGACTACAATAAGATATGTATATTCAGTAGGTCTGAGAATAGGTTGGTATCTATTTTTTATACCCATGAGTGAGAAGGGTGCAGTTTTTTTATTTTTTGTACAAAATTATTTTTTTTTATTTTTTTTATATTATGTGGCATGAAAAAATACATGCAACCCTAAATTTTCACCCTTCTACCATCAGCCTCTATTTTTAATAGCGTTATTATTAATTCAATAATTTGAATTTAACAACAAGTTGTTTTAAAAAATTGTCGGAGTACCTTAAATTGAAAACGTTAGTATGATTGGGAATACAGGATGTTTCAAAAACCGTCTTTGTGCCGTCTCTCGTGGGGAGGTTCCTCACGTAAAAATAAGATTTATTTTTCATGTCAACATAAGTCCGATTCTGCTTTGTTTCGTAGCTACAGGGTGTTAAAGTCTGAATAATATTTCAATTTATTATAATTTTCTTCCAAGTATTTTTAGTGATTCGAATGAAATTTTGGGGGTAAAAGTTACTATAACTGCTACATGTTTTAATACTAAAAAAGTGTCGATAAATTCATCAGGGACGTGCATATGGGTTATCACTGTAATATTTTTCAAAAAAAAAACATGTGCGCCACTGACTTTTTTTTTGATATCAAAATTGTGTAGGCCGTTTAATGCCAATTAAAAGTTATCTCTTGATATTTTATCGAACTCGGCCTCCTTCATGAGATAAACGCAATTTTATTAATCACAATTATTAACATTAAAATAAAAATAAAATTAATAAATTATATATTTTACCTTATTTATTATTAGATATTATTACTATTAGTTATTAGTTATCATTACTATCAGTTTAACCTACAACAATTTCAAATAAAAAGATAATGGTATTTAAGATAATTGCGAAGAACCTAATTTTAAAAACTTTTAACATCCTGTAACTCTAAAACTATGCATTTCCATACTAATGTTTATAGGAACTTTTTTTCGTATTTTTTGATAAATCAATGAGTATCTATTTAAAACTTTCGCAAGTTAATGATATCAACATTTTTTAAAGGTTGCTATTAGACTTGGACCAAGACAAATTAATAAAGTTGCATTGATCTCACCAAGGAGGCCGAAATTAACAAAATATGAAGAGACAACTTTTAATCGGCATTAAGCTGCTTACACTATTTCGCTAACAAGAGAAAAAAGTCAGTGACGTAGTATATGCTTTTTTTAGAAAAATATTCCAGTGATAACCCATTATGCACGTCTATGGTGAATATTTTGACACTTTTTTAGCTTTAAAATATGTCGCATTTATAGTAACCTTTACCCTCAAAATTTCATTCGATACGCTAAAAGGTACTAGGAAAACAATTATAATGAATCGAAAAAATATTAAGACTTTAACACCCTGTAGCTACGAAACAAAGTCCAACATAACTCCGATTCTCGGACTTATGTTGATAAGAAAAATAAATCTTATTTTTACGTGAGGAATCTCCCACGGGAAATGGCACATGTTTTTTGAAACACCTTGTATACCGGGTACAATTATTATATTAGTATACCAAAATTTCAATATACCGGGTACTATTTTCTGATTCTTTCTTGATACTGATTTATTTTAAAGATATATCTTATATCTCTCAGACATATCTTGGTCTTATTTGGATAAAATTTGATTTTACTTTTTTGAAAAACGATTCAATATGATGAATGATGCCGTACGTCTGTAGGTCGTACTAAAATTGTCTATAAGCAGTTCGAAACAGTACATAATATATGTTTGTGTATATCTGTGTGTATATTATTCTGATGTGACTAAACAAAAAGAAATAAGTTAGTAATGCTACACGACACAAGTATGGCGTCGATTTGGTAAGAGCTAGGTACTAAGGAAAAAAATAACTAAAAAATAGTGAGAAAAAGTACTTATTAAGGTCTATGTATCGAAGTTTTGAAGTGGGAATCGGAACTAAAGTATTTTGCAGTGCATATCAAAATGTAACACTTTTAGATATATTTTTCGTTGATTATGAAGTCTGTCCTGTGAATTTAAATTCCAGACAATAACTGTCATTGTTAGGTATCCCCTAGTTGGACAGATTTTAGTATACCATCGCTAGGCTCAATATGAATTCCAGTTGTATTTGTGTTCACATCTCAGAATAAGAGTAAAACTTCATCCAGTACCTCGAAATTTCACAAGTCGTTCTTTTTATACGTTACATCACACAGAATTTTTTTCTTATTTTGATCAAAATAGAGTGTATTTTGATAACAATAGATAGATGTGTAAAAACACCAGTTCAATCTTTTTTTTTCACTTTTCAATTATATTTGGCGCCCAACGTGGGGCGTGTAAAATAATATTTTATATAAAAAATTGGGGGTGCACTATGTGCGCATCTTACTAACAGCTATTAAATTGAAGAATTTGAAGGACCTGTTTGAAAAAGTGTAGTTTGAAATGTTGAAAAAGTAATAAATGTAAAATTAATTTATATTTTTTTATAATTAACGTATTAAAATATCAATATTTTTGAAAAATACGTGGACTGCTCACAAATACACGTCGTATCACTACGTATTTCTAAGCCGTAGGCTGTGTCTCGCCTGCCCGTGAATCACGGCCTTTTTACTCCCAGGGTGTGCCGTTACCACTTTTCGTGTCGCTACCTCTTGTGTCACGACTCGCTAGCTCGTGTGTCACGGCCTTGTGTAAATAAATAAGTGGCAATCTAGCATTTCTCTGATTACATAAATATAAAAAAACAACTACAAGTCTAATCAGCGAAAAATATCATTGTTCATAAGTGAAACATTTTGATTTTGCTTTAGGCTATTAAGTGACGTATAATATCTCTATTTGGTTTCGACAGAGTGTTTTTGAAATGTTAATTTACTTGATCAAAGCGGGTGCGGAAGTAAAAACTCTCAACCAACAAATTATAAAATAAATCTAATCATTACTGATGAAGCGTTGGACTTGCACAAACGTGATATTCGACGTACGCTGCCATTTAGAATATTTGAAACTACTTAAAATTTTTAATAGTCCAGAAAAACTGAATCCCATAGTTTTTCAAGTAAAATTCAAAATTCAAAAAAATGCATTATTTAATGTAATTTTTATCTTTTTTATTAAAAAAAGCTCATAACAAGACAAATTAAATAAAAATACAAAAGTCTGAGTCATATTTCAAAAATGGCAACTTCCAGCAAAAAACTAGTTACGCCACTGGATTCTACGTGAAAAACTCTACAAGAGACACAGTTTTCATCTTTGCGATAAGTTATAAGATAGCCAAGATACGTAGGGGCTTGAAAAATGCAATATTTTCAAATTCGCCCTGTATTTCAGGAACTAAGAGGGCTAGGACAAATCTGTGCGAAGCATCTTTAGTTAAATAAAAAAGTAACACTGTGGTGTGAAAACCACACGATATATCTTTACTCAAAAACAAGAAAACCCATAAAACACGAAAATGGAACACTTATTTAAGAGACATCCTGTATAATAACCTTAGACATTTATTTAAACAATTTTAGACTATATACCTTAAAAATTTGAGGCTTAAATATTTCTTTATCATGAAATTCTAATTGCTACAAAGCGAAAATTTTTAAGTAATTTTTAAATAATCTGATATAGCAGCGTATTTCTGTAAAATTATTTCTCCACTGTTTTTACTTACACGATATAATTTTTATTCGTCAAACCAATGGAAACCCATCAATTTTTTTAATAAAAATCTAACGCTATCCAACAATGTAAAACATGTTTTGTTTAAAATTGGGCTTTACTGGGGCCCTAGCCCGAATCACCACGCCCGGCCTATGGACAATTTTAGTGTTTATTTTGTAAAATCTGAAAACAACATCCAACATCACAACTTCACCAAAGCGACTAGCCATCGGGCAAGCTCTACTACTATTATATTATATTTGGCGCCCAACGTGGGGCGCCAAATAAAATCACCGAAAAGAAAAACGAGCACCTTAAAATTTTGATGTATTTTAAAGTTTTATTTATTGTGTTCTAGTGGGCCGATTTTGATGACTTATTAAGCAATACGTAGCTAAATTATTTGACTTTTTTGTAGAGATATTCGCTTTTGAAGAAAACACTAACATTTCTTTCGTAATTTTTATATTGCCTTTGCTTTTGGTGCTAAGAGATACTAAAAAGTCAAATAATTTAGCTGCAAATTGCTTAAAAGATCATCAAACTCGGTCCACGAGAACACAATATATCAAAAAATTTAATGTTGCCTGTTTTTTCCTATAACAAATATAGGAAATAATATTTAAATATCTGTATTTCATTTCCTTAAAAGGACCACTCTTTTTCTACATGTAAATAGAGAAAAAAGTCAAATTTTAAATGAGTTCTCAATAGAAAACACCGATAAAACATTTTTTAATTAAAAATACCCCTAACATAAATATAATATGTAGTTTCTTACAGCATTAGCATTCTATGGTGTAATTTTTTCTGATATTTTAGTTGGCTGGAATATATTTAATAGAGTAAAGCTTCCTACAGCCCTATTTACAACAGCTTAGCCTCATAAAATACTGCAAAAAATAAAAATAATATAAGTATTTACCTAGTTAAATGCCGACTGTCCTCATGCACGTCCATCTCAGAACTTTTGAACTCGTTTAGTTCTTTTCTTATGGCAGCCTTATCTTTTGGTGTTAGCCTGCAAACATTTGATTTTAAATATAACTTATAAATAGTACAGAGTCTGTGGTTTGGTTCTTTGTGAAACACCGTTGAAATATTAGTCTTTTAGTAAAATATTTAATAGTTATTTTTTATACAAGACGATAAAATGGTAAGTTATCGTCAAAAATACCAACAATAAATTACCAACAGATATTCAGGCTGAGACGACAAACGCCATATCCAAACTACTTCCATTTAAATCCCGAATAACTTATAAAAAGGAATACAAAAATGTTCAAAAATGGAAGTAATTAAAAAACGTGCCAGAAGAAATAAAGTTTTTAACCTATCCTCGTTGTTAAAGTATCATTTAATCTACCCTTGCGGTTAAAGTACTATTTTATCTACTATTTTTCATAGATATAAGGCAATTTTAACAACAGTTGCTATGGAAAAAAAAATAATTTGAAAAAAGATAACTTAAATGAAGTTGCAAATATCGCGCTATTTCGAGAACGTAGGGAAAGTAACAAGGAATTTTCAATGTTATTGTACGACACAATTGTACAAGATCATAATTTAATAAAAACTTATGATCTCCTAAAAACTTTAGGTCATTGGTCAATGTATAGATCAAAACTTACCTAGTCCAAGGCTTATCAGCCCTCCTATCATAGTCATGAGCCTGTGTCACTTCGATATAATCATTAAACCGAATGATTTTTTTCTCTTTAAGCTCTTCCACGGTCGGCCTGAAGCTCAGTTTCCTCAGCAAGAACCTCTTCTTCTCTTCCTTTTGTTTCTTCTCTTCTGCCGGACTTTGTTCTGTCAAAAATTAAAGAAATTTTTAGGTTAAAATTTCATTTTTTTTTGTGGAAACGTTACTTTTTAAGATGTTTCGTTCTTCGAGTTCTTCCTGCGTCGGCCTCATACTAAGCCTCCTGATCAGCCTGGCTCCTATGGCTTCTTTTTCACTTTGTCGTTCATTTTCTGATTGGATTTGTAAAATATTTCTGCAAAAAGAGTAGTTTGTTTATCGAGAAAACAGACAGTTATACAGTCAGAAAACAGACAGTTATGTTTATTGGTTTGACGGAACGATGAACGACAAACGGACGCCGATGCGTATGAACTCGCCTTTATATTTTTGAGGCTTGTCAAAGTCTTGCCAAATTATAGGTTATGATGTTGTGTCACCTTATGTCAAATACCCTGCGTTTTGGAAGATGATGCATTTTGATTCGTGTTACTACGTGTGTTTTGTGTCTTTTGAAGCTAAGTGGAGGAAAAATCGAGGGAAAATTAACTGTAAACCCAGAGCACAGTTTATAGTTAATACTCGCTGCCCAGGCAGAAGGTCTTATACACCAATAAAGTTTGTATACCATCTCTTCGTAGATAAATGCATCTTGTATATATGCTATAAGGATCGTACTAAATATATACTACTGGAGAGTATATGTTTAAATCAACATAATCAACCTTTAAGGTATAAAATTTGGTAAGTGTTATTATAAATAAAATAGTTTTTTTTTACAAATTTGTATTTGTACATAAGTGATATTGATAAATATAATAATAAATGCGGGAAGTTTCTTGAAGCTTGAAAGTAAGAAATAGTTCTTTTCTATATTTTTTGGTATGTGGTGTCTTGTTTTTGTTTGTTTTGTATTAACACATACCGATTTTTATTAAATAAAATAACTCGATTACATTTTTTCAGTTTTATACATTTTTTTACAATATTTTGATGTCAGTCAAATTTTAAATATACAAAGGGCTGGCAAAGGTTAGTCTTGGGTCGAGATTTCCGTATGTAAGAAGAGTACAATGCGTTTATAACGTACTGAACAAAGAGAGGACAGTAAACACGTTGCCAAACGTATGAAATAAACCGAGAAACTGTGCACATCGCTAAGAGACGTGGAAGGGGATACAGCAGATTTGTTGCAGTTGACCGGTCGACCCAATCAATACCTCTATCAGTACTTGTTCTAGGGAAAGGTGTACGTCATGCGTTCAGCTTGACGATTTAATTACGTCTCGTGATACTTGATTTGTTTATTTATTAACGAGTCGTTGTAATTTCCCTATAGCTTGAATTTTTATAAGTGCAAGCTAGAAACACTTGCATTTTTGGTAAAAATAAGTGGAATTGAGTGGGTGTTCGATAGTGGTCGCGCTATTACAACTCTGAATTCAAAAATCGATATCTCGAAATCTATTAGAAATAATAGATTGTAATTTTTTCAAGAACTTTGTTAATATTTCTGTTGTATTTTCTTTGTAGACAGTATGTGAAAATCTTTATCAATAAAAAAATTACACGATTGCTGAAAATTGCTATGCTCTAAAAGTAAATGGTTGGATTGTTTACAATTTTTGAATGGAAAAAACAACCTTATCGAATTTTTCTTATGTAAACATATTGTAAAATATCCGATCTTGAAAATAAAAAAAAGTTTCAATATCTAAAGTGGTTTTTGAGGCCTGTTATGTGTTAAAAAGTTGAGTTTTAAATTATCGCGATTACTGACGTTTTCTCGTTATAAAAAAATGACAACCTAACGATATCCTTATAATTCCATTTCAGATGCTCATAAACATGTCTAATGATTTTATCTAGTTATCTCTTGAAAAAAGAGTCTCTTAAAAATAAGCGGTTTGCGATCGTGATTTTACTTTACTTGATAGGGAAAGGCGTATCGGCAACGCCGCAACAGCACACAGTCACGCGTCGCGTCGGTCGGTCGCATTTCTCTCACTCCGACTTAATAAGATCCCTATGCGATTTACTTCCACACATGTAAATGCCGACCCAAAAGTAACAGTTGCCAGCACGGTATTAATTTCCTTCTATGCGTTCCATTTGTACCAACTTATTTTTTTTGTAAAATAAAACAAACTACTTTGAAATTAAAATGACAGACACATCTATCACTGTCAGGGATCTCGTCGTTGGACAGACTATAATTCGTCAACTTCAAAAATTGTAAAACTTTGGAGTTAAGTTCATTAAGGATGACAGTTAATTTTGACATTTGATATATGTTGACAGGCGTCTACTGTGTTTCTGTACCCAAATATATAAAAAACAACACTCGATAATTATATCTGTACTACGACTTACCTATTGATTAGTTCTTGCCTGTCAGGCCTCAGTGACAGCTTCAAAGACAGGCTCTCCTTCCTAGCTATCTTCATGGCTAGTCGGCTCTCCTCAGAAACGCCACTATCGTCGTCCCTGTACTGTATGGGTCCATCTGCTGAGTCCGAGTCTGTGTCATCTTCTCTGATGACGTACGGTCGCGTGTTCTCCTTGTTCTCCAAGGTGCAGGGCAGGCCTATGGCGAATTTGGCTTTCGCGCTGGAAAATACACGGAAATTAGTTAATATGGTTGGAATGTTGAAGGAGGAACACGGTTGCCAGATGAAATTTTGAAAATTCCCTAGATTAAGGGTGTATTCCGTTGCTTACCTTGGTTATTTTTTTATGTTCTGTTTCTATCGGTTTCCTGAAAGTTTTCTTATTACGGAACACGGTTCCTGGAAAATTCGGTTACAACTGTCACCAAACTAACCAGCGCGAGAAGGCAGGTTGTTCTGGTTTTCTTTGTCAATCATTGTTATTTACGTGACAGAAATCAAGCAAATATTGGAAGTTCGAGTGAAATTCTCATTTCATTTCTAAAATTTGTATTATTTTGTATTTACATCCAAAAGCAATGGAGGTAGGTAGTAAAGGTAAATAAATTTCATTAACTAAATGAAATGACTTTTTAGGACCATTTTAACTTATCATGCAGCCATTGTTTCTTAAAGTCAGGAACATTTAAAGAAAACATGAAAAACAAGGCAACAAGTGGTCGTGAATGTTTTGTAAGCTGTAAAAATATAAATATTGATTAGATTTGTTTATTTATTATTGATCTGTTTTAATATTGGACCTGCAAATCTTTACTAGAGCTGTCTAACGAGTTTAACAGTTTATTAATAAAGTACTTTTCAATATTAAACTCCATTGAAAAGAAGAAGCATACGTAAAAGTAGAGAATAGGTACATTAAAAATGCATAAAAGATAAATTATAATAGAGGTATTGAAATTTAGAAAACGTCAACATTTGACGTTTCCAGTATTTTAACAAACCGTTCCGTATCGAACTGATGTTTTTCAGGAACCGCTCTTTACCGTAGTTTACCGGTCTGGTTCGCCTGGTTTTGCAACGGAATACAGCCTCAAGTGAACAGACGTCCGTCATTATGACATTTTGCGGTTTATTTCAGTTTCAAGTGCAAGGCCATCAGTATTTATCATGACATGCTATGCAGCGTTGAAATATTACACAAAAAATAGGGATGATTCTTCTATGATATATATTACCTCGGGATTTAGTGTGAAAAAATAAATGACAACAGAAAAAGGTGGAATTTGTGATTAAAATTGCAGATATATGAATGGTTAAAAATTTAAAGTTTATATAGACTGTATTTTGAGCCTTTGTAGTTTGAATAAGATGTAAAGGTGGGTAGTGGAAAACGAAACAAGCTATTTTGTTAACACAGAGTACCAATATTTACCATATTCTTATCCTAGGCCTTGACAGTGGCCTTCTGCATTCGGGACAAAAGAAAAAATATGTTAGACAGGCTCAAGTTTATTCTAAATTTAATTCTAGAATTTTAAAATTAAAATATACTCAGTGACAGTTCCTACCTACAAGTGGTCAGATAGGGATTTTGAGAAGGAAAGATGTCTACAAATAGATTCTGAGAGAGGGAAACGATACGAGTTTGAGTAAGTAGATACATTCATATATCTAGGAACCGTATTTCTAAGGAAACGAAATGTAACTCAGGAAATTGTGGCAAGAATAATGGCAGGAAATAGATGTTAGCGCAATATAGAAAATGATTAAGAGTAAGAACATCTCTAGAAGTTTAAAAATCAGAATGTACCAAACAATGATACGACCAATGGTGCTGTATGCATGTGAAACGTAGACGTTCAATGCAACGCAAAGTTCGAGGCTAGAGACTTGGGAAAGAAAAATACTGAGGAAGATTTTTGGAGGAAAGAAGATAGACAACATATGGACCAGAAGAAGAAAATGAAGAATTAAAGCAACTATATCAGATACCGAATATAACGGTAGTAGCAAGAGCACAAAGACTGAGATGGCTGGGACACATTGAAAGAATGGCTGAAGGAAGAATTCCTAGTATGATAATGAAACGTGAAATAGGTGGAAAGAGAAGGAGGGGTGGACCGAGAACCAGATGGAAAAAGGATGTTGAAGAGGACTTGAGAAGGATAAGAGTGGATGGGTGGAGAATAAAGGCGAAAGACAGAAACAAATGGAGAAAGATAACCAATCAAGCCATAAGCCTTTTAAGCTTTTAGAGCTATTATATATAATCTTGTGTTTATGTCACTGAGTATATTCATTAATGACAAACAACTGTGTCTATATCAAGTATTCTCTCACTGGACAGATTTTAGTTTTCTTTATCTCTAAACAAATTAAACTTACTTGAAGCTGGAGTTGTGCTCTTGTTGCCTCATGCCCAGCGGCCTGTTCTCCTGGGTGGGTGTACCCTGAGGCGTAGACCCTCCGCTGTTCTTCTTCTTGAGCGCCGACTTGAGCGGCATGGCGTTAAAACGAGGCTCCTTGGCCGGAATCTCGTCTATCCTGCTGGTGTCGATGGCAGGGTCTGGCTGAGGCATCCGGTACATGTAGGAGTTCTCGTCGTCGCACTCTATCTCATACTCGTCATCTTCCTCGTTCTCTGAAAAGGGAATTAGGAAATTAAAGGAAGATCAATAAAAGTTGACGTGCGTGCATAGATAAATGAAACAAGTTTAGAATGGAGGCCCGTCAAAATTTTAGGTCGCGAAATTATTTCGGGCCGCGACCGTTGTACCTGATCTGGCGCTGCTGTAGCGGTTGCTAAGAACAACCGCAGACAAAAACAGAAATAATTTTCATAAAAATATATTTCTTCTACAAACAACGTCAAAAAATGACTAGGTGCGCAAAGTAATGCACGAAATGCTAATTACGCACACTGCATGTAAATTATATGGGATTTTGGAATTTTGATTTTTGGAAAATGAAGAACTAAATCATAATTAATTATTTATTTCGAAATATCCAAGAATAAACAAATAACAAATATCAAAATGAACACTAATGCATATTTTAGTTATTATTTACAATATTAACATTAATAGTACAACCAGTACACGAACCAATATTTAATCCCAAACTAGATAGTTCTGATTTTGCTTGACATATGGGGGTTTTGGGACTTGAGACACTATCCAATTTTGATGTAGAGGTACTTGATCCCGGTATTTGACACTCTAAAATTTTATTTGATATTTGAATTTTATTGTTGATATCCTCGACGTATCCCTCGGCCACTGTCGAAGATTTCCATCCTCCGTGGCGCTTCAAACTAAAAATATCACCCCCTGCATTACCAAGGAGTGTGGCTGAAGTTCTCCGGAAACAATGCCCAGGGTAGGCCTCATAATCTGGCAGCTTTAAGTGTTTTGCTATCATACTAGGTATCTTATCAATAGAATTTATGCCGACCGCTTGGTTAAAACATTTTTTATTTTGATATTTTAAAAACAATCTGCGACTGGTAGCATTTCTTGGATGAAGAGCTGCGTATTTTCGGTAAATCTCAATATAATTCAAATTTGACACTGTAAAGACTCGGCCTATGTTTGTTTTTGTATCGGGTACTTTAACAATCAAAATTGAATCTTTGTCTTTTATGTTATCGACCGTCATTTTCGTAAGTTCCTCATGGCGGCAAGCACTAGAAATACCAAGTATAGTCTATAAAACGAATAACTTTGAATTTGACAGTTCCCGCGGGCTTTTCTAGTGTTAATTTTATTAGGTTAGCACAAAGGGTTAGCAACTTGCGGCCATGCTGACGCATGGTCAATGTCGTCTCTAATAGAACAGCCTCGGAGCGAGATTTATGACGTCACGCTAGTTAGATACTACGGATTAATAAATATGTTGTAGAATACATGGAAAACATAATTATTCCTCGTATTTTTGGTTTGTATTTTAAAAATGATATAGTTTACATGAAATATACATAATATACAGTTAATAAATACAATATATATATACCTATTTATACTAATAAATACTTTGGCAGATAAACTATGAACCATACAAATGCAGCAAATGTTTTACAATATGGCAATAGTTTTTGTGTTAAGAATAATAATTTAAAAAAATATGTGGTCATCTTTTGACAAGTTTATATTAGTTTATTAATTGCAGTAAACATTATAATATATAAATAAATTTTGTGAATGCAAATAATAATACATCACTATTATGTTTTTTGTTAAATTAGATCGATTTTCAAACCTCAAAATTTAAAATATATTTTACATTTTATCCATTATCTTATGTACCACCTATTCATTATTTGTATATCGTAAAACATTTGCTGCATTTGTACGGTTCATAGTTTATTTGCCAAAGTATTTATTACTATAAATAAGTATATATTATATTGTATTTATTAACTATATATTATGTATATTTCATGTAAACTATATCATTTTTAAAATACAAACCAAAAATACGAGGAATAATTATGTTTTCCATGTATTCTACAACATATTTATTAATCCGTAGTATCTAACTAGCGTGACGTCATAAATCTCGCTCTGTGGCTGTTCTATTAGAGACGGCATTGGCCTAATATTTAGAAATGTCAAAAGCTGATGACATTTTGTCAATTATGAAATTTCGTGTTGATTTTTGCAAGAAGAGGAAGAACTGTCACTTGTTTTATTATTTTCTTTTTCTATTTCAAAAGAAACTAAAAAGAGTTACCCGTCTGATTCGTTCAGGCACTCAATTTAAAGAATATCAGTAACTTTTTTGACAGAGGGATTTTATATTTGCCATGTTGGTAAAAAATAACGGTCATAATTCAAAGTTAATCATTTTATAGACTATATTAAAACGACCTAAAAGGAAATCGATGACGATGTTCAGTAATAAAAAAACATACATCTTTTCGAAGCAACAATATAATAATAATAATTTTTAGGGATATCCCGATTTTAATGTTTGTAGAAAAAATGTTGTTTGCAACTCGTGCGCGAACTACTTTGGTGATCTCGATTAATTTTTCAACTCGGCTACGCCTCGTTAAAAAATTCAAGTATCGATCACCAAAGTAGCACTTACCGCACTAGATACAAAAATAACTGTTTTTTGGTGCAGCCTAGTGTTCGCTCTGTTCACCATCGTCCAATTTATAACCAAACTCGCAGCGTTGCCTCCTTACCTTCGTAGTCGTAGTCGGCAGGGTTGGGTAGCGGACTGCCTTGAGGCGGCGGCCTGCGCGGCTGCGGACTGGGGCTGCTGAACATGGGCGGCGGCGGTATGGGTCCGATCTCCGACACCGGAATGGGCGGCTCGGGCAGCTCGGACAGCACGAACTGGGGCAGCGGCGGCACGTTCGAGGGCAGCTGCTGGTGGGCGGCCAGCTGGTGGTGGTGCGATTGCTTCTCTTGAGCGGGAGGCGTCGAGCCGGGGGGACCGATCTGCTGGCCGTCGGTGACTGGAAGAGAGAAACAGGTTAGGTTCACTTCTCAGTCTATTAACTTGCAAATCGAATAAAAAGGATCCAAGTGACTTTTTTTTAACGAACTTAAGTTATAGAATACACTAAAAAAATATGAGTAATTTTACAAAAAAAAATAATATACAGGGTGTCCCAGGCTGAGCGTGCATTAGAAGTTTCTAAAGAACCACAATATCTAGATCGGAGATTTTTTGCACATCATTGCTTTAGCCCACGGCCACACAGAAAGCGTTTTTAGCGTTTTGCGTTTTTTGCGCCTCAAGCGCTTTTTGCGATTTTACCGTTTTAAGCGCTTTTTTCGATTTGTGTTCATTAAAAACACGTAAAAGACGCGGCAGATCTGCAGCTTCTATCAAGATGTCAATTAGTAACGTCACAAGCTCGTGGATTCCCGGCCCGTCCAACAATCAATCCTGTGAGAAAGAGATAGGCGAGATCGGCGCCGTTAGCGTTGAAGAGACGAAGATAAAAGATGCTGGGATCGAATTGTGGACGGGCCGGGGCATATATCCGGAGACAAACACAATCTACTGCTAGTGCCAGTGGTGTGTGTAAAAATAATAATTATTATTTGCCATTTATTTTACGAATTTTAGTTTATATGTGTATAGTTTTTTTATATTGTAGTGTTGTGGTTAGTACTTGTTATAATTATAATATAATAAATAATTATGTATTAGTATAGTAAATATTTCTGGTTGCTAATGCAATTTTAGGACATGATTATTTATGAAACATTTTGGAGTGAAACTTCTTTACGCGCGCTGGGAGTAAAAATTCAAGGCCGTGACATACGAGCTAGTAAGACGGCCCTGACACACGAGCTCGTTGTAACGAAACGTGTTAACGGCTTAGAAATACGTAGTGACACGACGTGTATTTGTGAGCAGTCCACGTGTTTATCAAAAATATTGATATTTTAATACAAATTTTGTAAAAGTGAATCAAATTATTAAGTGTAAAAAAACATTTGTTACACGTAAAAAACTATTTTTATTATTTTACGCGAATAAAACTGTTTTGGTTTGGTAAAACAAGTAAAAAATTATTTTTTACGCGTATAAAACTATTTGTTTCCGTTAAAAAAAGACCTTTTTTACGCATAAAAAGCTATTTTTTACGCATAAGAAAATATTCCTTTAATTTATTACTTTTTGAACACATTCATTTCAAAATACACTTTTTCAAACATTTTTTCTTCATTTCTTCAATAAAATCTTCCTCAACAGTAGATGTTCTTTATAACAATATTTTTAGATAATACCCTAAAATGAAAAAAAATGCATAGTATTTAATTTATTTTTAATGTATTATTAAATATAACGTCCGCCTATGACAGGGTCTCATCTCAGAAAACGCTAAAGACGCTAGAGAAAACAAACTGATTTGTTTTCATATGCGTTTTTTGCGAGACATGCCGAACGCTACACGCTTTTGGTGTGGCCACTCCTATATAATCCTGTTATTTTGTTTTAGTCGCTAAAGACGCTTCACGCTAAAAACGCAAAAACCGCTTTCTGTGCTGCCGTGGGCTTACAACGAGATCTATCGATTAAAAATATTTTCAATAATCTTATATAATGGCGGTAGCTGTCATGGAATTGAGCGTTAAAAAAATTATCATAAATAATTTTTTTCAGATGGAAACCCACTGTTTTTATTTCACTAATGAAAAGGATTTTCAATTCGTTACTTTTTGACCATACATGTTTCTATACCTAAAATAAATCGTTTTTAAGTTATTTAAGATTTAATTTGAAAACGTATATTTTTCTTGATGTTATCTAGCTTCCAACGTTCTGACATTAAGTGTCAAACGGTCAGACAATTTATTTCCATCTGTCAGAAAACGGATTATTTGAATTTCCTCTCTATATTATAAATACTCACTGCTTTTTTCTCAAAAACGGTCAACTAATTTGGCGGGCAATTTTCTCCGTTTTACCATTTAACCTTACATGTACTTTTACGTACCTTTATGTACCTTACATCTACTTTTATTTGCTTTTTTAAATTCAATCCACGCCAATTTGTATTATTCCACTTGTTTACCCACTACGACTGCGCCATGTAATATGGCTTAAACTACGATTGTTTAATCATATAGGTTTATTATTTAAATGTAAAATAGTTTAACAATAATTAGGATGCGTAGGAATATGGCGCAGTCGGTAGGATTATATTCCCCTCAATTGTGAATTTATTTACTGTCCATTATTCTTTTAATAGGAACCCCAGTCTAATTTAACATTCTGAGTGACTTACAGTGTTCACTGTGGTAGCACAACAACCTCCTGGTGAGTTTACTGTGACCCAGCGAGCTGGGCCTCTCAGCGGGTTTCCTGCTGCCGTCGTCTCCCCCTCCCCCCTGGTTCGAGGGTTGAGAAAGGTGGAGGCCAGTCTCGCCGTTGGGGGACATTGAGCCGTTCTGAGCATTGCTTCCATCAGTCTTATCTTTTTTGGGCTCTGAAACAATAAGGACATCATCAGAAATATGTATTAGATAATAATTACGCATAAGATACATTGATATAATGTGCGTCAACGACTCAGGACAGATTTCGACAGACGATGACAGCAAAAAGATTAATAAAAGCCATGGCAATCCTATTTTTTCACATCCATAGGACAGACTATACCGGGTGTTGCTTCGTCGGACGGGACATAGGAAATCCCACGTAAATTTTAATGGGGTCAATTATTGGCTTCCTTAATTATTTTAGAGAATAATTCTATTTAGGTTTATTGAAGAGCACCCACATTCAAAAGAATAACTTTAGATATTTTTGATTAGCTCGTTTACGAGTTATCGCCGATTTCTTTAAATATTTCTTCTTTCTTATGGCCCTGTATTTACTTATGAGCACCAGTCAAGGTAAAAGATAACTGTCAAATGAAGTTGTCATTTCAGAAATTTACCTATTTAGAGCTTTATTATTATTGAAAACTCATTCCTACATCGGAAATCTTAAAGATGTATTTATAAATACAAATTAATATGAATTAAAGTAAAATAAAGTAATCAATTACAAGGTTAATTATAGTATTATTACAATATTCAATAAATTATTAATTTAGGTACTATTAAATTGTTAGAACTTTAGGATTTAAGAAGATGTTCAAATATTCCTTCATCGACTGATAGACAATAACCCAGGCGATCATAAAATTCTCTTCTTACATTCGCTAGTTGGTAAACTGAAATTCTATTGCATTCGGCAGAAATAGCATTTTTTAACTCGTCTAGATTTGGGTATTTTTTATCCTTGTATATCCTGTTTTTTAAATGGCCCCAGAGAAAGAAATCATTTGGCGAAATATCAGGAGACCTTGCTGGCCAATTTACTGTATGATTTAGGCCAATAACATAACAGCCATCCATTTGATACCAAACTTCCTGATTTTCTCTAGCGGCATCATGTAAAGCAGGTAAAATATGATTTTCGAGTAGTTCCAAATAATATTCTGCATTTAAATTTCGCGTAACAAATAATGACCCGATAATATTGTGTCCGAATATCCCTGCCCAAACATTTACTTTCTGTGGATATTGCGTCCTTGTTTCGACAAACCTGTATTGGTTTTCTTTGTTCCGATATCGATAATTTTGAACATTGGGTTCATTATTTAAGGTAAACGTGCATTCGTCAGTGAAACATATGTTTTTTTTTAAATTCCCTATCCGAGAGACTCCGTGTTTGCTCTTCCATCATATCAAAACAAAACGCCTGCCGCCGTATTTCGTCCCCATCTCGTAGCTCTTGGTACTTTTCATATTTGAAGGAATAGTATTTATGTAGTTTCAAAATTCGAAACGCTGTAGTGTGATCTATTTCTATTTCATCCTCAAGTTTCCTTGTGCTGATCTTTCCTTCGTTCTCTTCCACACACAATAAAACTTCCAAGTCGGTATCATTTCTTGCATCTTCTCTTTGTTCCTGCCTTGCTTCACATCTGCAGTTATTTATTAGGGTACCTTTGGTCTCAAATCTCTGGATATTCCTTGAGATTGTAGATTTTCCAGGTATCGGTCTATTCGGGTACAGAGCAGCAAACATGTCCGACAACCTTTGATAACTATTTCCTTGATAATACCATTTAATCATCAATACTTTTTCTTCGGTAGTGTAATTCATGGTTAATATTTTCGATGTAAGTATGAGTTTTTAATAATAATAATAAAGCACTAAATAGATAAATTTCTGAAATGACAACTTTATTTGACAGTTATCTTTTACCTTGACTGGTGCTCATAAGTAAATACAGGGCCATAAGAAAGGAGAAATATTTAAAAAGAAATCGGCGATAACTCGTAAACGGGCTAATCAAAAATATCTAAAGTTATTCTTTTGAATGTGGGTTTTAGTGCTCTTCAATAAACCTAAATATAATTATTCTCTAAAATAATTAGGGAAGCCAATAATTGACCCCATTAAAATTTACATGGGATTTCCTATGTCCCGCTCGACGATGCAACACCCGGTATATTCTTATTCAATAATGGTTTTTGGTACCATTACTTCTCTCATTTTCCTACCGTACTTGGTCAGAATAGAATTCATTCACGACCAGCTGCAACAATGTAACTTTTAATGCGGGAGCGTGTCAATGATTTTTCACGCTGCCAAACAGACTATAAATAACTTTACTTAACCTTCATTAAGGTTCTAAATTAGTGTGTGTGCATTTCGGACAATTGCTGTGACGAATTCCTTTCATACTTTTATGAAATTATAAAAATAATTATGTTTGAAATTTTAATTTTCCTTACTTAAAAATAATTTGGGATTTTTATTTTAAAAATAATTTGGGAAGTCGGGGAGAATAAAATTAGTACCATCTAATGTTCAAAGTGGAAAGTACCTATTGCGGAAAAAAAATTCGGTAGAAATTTGGAATGAACTAAAAGACAAATTAGGGTAGGCGGAAGTTAGCTTGATGAGCTATTTCAAAAAAAAGTATAAAACAGCTTTGACTACGGCTTATGTTTTGACATTGATTAGTCCTCGGGAATAAAAATATAACCTGACATCAGAAGAAACTAGTCCCGCACTAGAGTTTGCGAATAAAATGTATTCAAATACCGGATTTCTGCCACTTCACAATTTCAAAATAAATCTCCGCCATTTAGAAGTGTAATGGATTCACACGAAATAACTTCCAAAATCGGTCTAACATTTTAAATGGATGATAAGTGTTATATGTTATATCTTTTACAAATATTTTTCAATCTAGAAGTATTTAAACGTTATAACAACAAGTGTAACTTTGTACTTATTTGATGAATAGATAGAGGATGTATTTGATATAAAAATACTTTTTTATAGCTTTATAGTAAAAGTTTTTATAATTTTTACAGTTATCTTTCGATTTATCATAACAAGCTAATTTTTTTTATTTAAACCCATGATTAAAATGAAAAAAAGTTGATTTAAATCATTGCACCCTGATTTGTTCTAAATCATTTTTGAGCGAGATAAAGGAACCTTACCCTTCTTTTTTCTACAAGAAGACCCTCTTCTGTACCCAGGCGGTAAAAACATAGCGGGGGGAGTTATGGGTACCGCGGTATCCCAATAGGGGACCACATCGGGGTGACTTTGGTTGGGATCGGGTAGTTCCAACTTGGGCTGTTGCTTTTCGCATCTACGTCTTCTTCGACCTCCCGGCGTGAAGGTTTTCACCAGAAAACCCACCCCGGCATTCATTTTTGCGATGTTTTTATTTAATTATAGGTTTAAGTTCGATGTATTTGTTGCATCTTCGATTGATTTATCAGAAAATATGGAAATATATTTTTTTTTAATTAAAAATAAATACATACTTCTTAACCTGCCTTTAAAGTTAGTTCAGAACCATTAGTACAGCACCATAATGGTAATATGGTGTACAAACGGTAAAAAAATATATTTTTTTAAATTAATAATTTAAGAATTATCAACAGAAAATTTGATTTTTTATATGGGACACACAGAAAAATAATTTAAAATTACCTTTCCAAAAATGTAGAATACTTGATATTTTGCTTGATCCCTCTTGGAGATGTAGAGTTTTTAAAAATTCGCTCACTTTGAAAAAGTAGACTTTGATGCAAAAAAATTCTGTGAGTAAAACGAAAATAATATTTGCAGAGAGAGATGCAGAATTTCATAACAATTTAAATTATATTTAACAACATCAACACCTTTAAACTATATTATCTAATAACAATAAAAATTAATAGCAAACCAAGACTTGAGATTTTGCTACAGGTGTTCGACATATTCGACCATTTTCTGTTATGGACAAACGGGACCTTTCTGTTCCGGTTTCTGTTATGGACAAACGCACCAAATCTCCTCAATAGTGCCAATAAGCGAGGAACAACAAGGATTCCGAAGAAACCGATCAACTACCGATGCACTATTCATACTCAGGCAACTAGTTGAAAAATCCTTAGAATATAACTCTCCAGCCTATCTATGTTTTATAGATTTAACAAAGGCCTTTGATAGAGTTCAACTAAAAGACATCATCACCATCTTGGAAAGCAGTAATGTCTCGAAAGAACTCACAGAACTTATCAAGGACTTAAACACAAACACGACAACCCAAATAAGAACAAACTTTACCTTAACGCAGCATCTTCGAACTACAACTGGTATTCGCCAAGGCGACAGTCTCAGCCCTCTGTTATTCAACACAATCATGGATCAAGTAATAAAAACTGTCAAGAATACTGGATTAGGATATCGAATGGGAATGCATAAAGTAAACATATTATGCTATGCCGATGACGCAGTAATTATTGCAGAGTCAAAGGACGACCTCCAAAGAATGCTACAAGCTTTTAACAGACAGGCAGAAAAACTTAACATGCAAATTTCCACAAATAAGACCAAATTCATGACCATTACAAAAAAGCCTCTACGGTGCAAATTGGCAATAAAAAACAAAACTATTGATCAGATAATGTCATTCGAATACCTCGGATGCAAAATTACAAGCTCAGGATTCCTGGAAGAAGAAGTAAGGAAACAAGCCAATAAACCTGCCGCAATATCAGGACATCTTAAATATCCCATATGGAAAAACAAACATTTGAGTACAGAATGTAAGTCAAGAATATACAAAACCTGCATACGACCAGTGATGACATATAGTGCGGAAACATCAGTAACAAAGAGAATCCTACGAACTACTGAAATGAAGACCTTAAGAATGATAACTGGATACACATTGAGGGACAGACAGAGAAATGTAGACATAAGAGAAAAGTGCCAAACAAACGACGTTGTCAGATGGATAATGGAGAAGAAGAGAATGGAACCAGCATGTCAATAGAATGGGCCCCGACAGAATGGCCATAATAATTCGCAACAACGTACCCCATGGCAGAAGACTACCTACCTACTAGTTAAAAGTGGCGAACTTTTAAAAATTCTGTATTTCGGGGACTATAACAAAATATCAAGTGTGCTATATTT